ATTCGCGCAGCTATGCTACCTGTCGAAACTGAAGACTGGTCTAGCAAAAGTTCTATGGTTTTTGATGGGAGATTTACACATATGTATATATGTGTATATGTATATATGTGTGTGTGGCTTACAAACTTACTACTCACAATGGACATGGCCAAAGTGGGTGGTCCCCTATTGCTTGTGATTTCACAAATTTTGTCGCGGGCCTGCCATGGTCTGCAGGATATGGTCTCCCTTCATTATGGATTCCGTTTTGGGTGCCGAAAATGGAGGCTTCCCAAAATGGGGGTACCCTCAAATCTTCCATTCAAATAAGATTTTATAGGGTTTTCCATTATAAAACCATCCAGCTATTGGGGTACCTCCATTTCAAGAAACCCCCTATGTTTAGCCATAAATGGGCTATCGAACATTCGCCCAGGGACTCAGACATTTAGTCATTTCCGAATAATCCTATGTCCAAGAGTCCCATCTATCAAACTACACCAAAGATATATCTATCTAGTTCTATTTAAATATATAGTACATAAAGAAAACAATATATCTAAATATACATCATAAAATGTATCTATCTATCTATATATATTATATCTCATCATAGTATGGAAAATTGCCCATTTATAGATGATTTATGATGATTTACCTAGTAAAATGGTGATGTTCCATAGCTACCTTAAATAACCAGAGGGTATATCTCATCATATCACTATGATATGAAAGATTCTGCGACATTCGGATGAAGACCAGTCCTTGCACGACGCCAATCCGACTCTGTTCGGAGGCCATCTGCACGATGAGAGCTGGGAGCAGCGAACGGCTTGGAGAAACCCATACGAGCTGGTGCCCCAAACAATAGCTAAGTTGGTCTATAACTCAAATTTCACTCTGGTTTTTTGTTTGGGATGTATGAGGATATTATCTATAATGGGGTTTATAAACCAATAAACCTAACTGGCGGGGGCACCATCTTGTAGCATCTTTGACATCTCTGGGGCCATTGCCGAGTGCAAGTTGGGTTTGTATGTGTAAGTTGGGTTTGTATAGACCTATATGGTGCACTAGACAATTGGCACTCAGGTGCCAGTTGGTTTTAACCCTATTGCTTGTTCCATCATCTGGGTTGTAGTAAAGCCTCGGCTGTGGTTGGAAAGCCCCATTTCTTGCCCCAATCACCCGCGAAGCTGGGAAAACCGATTGGTATTGAACAAGTCAGCGGAAATGCCGACTGCTTCTCCTAAGAATCACCTTTAAAGGTGTTTATCAAGAAAAGGTAACCCAGTCAGTCTGGTAAACATATGCAAACCATCCAAAATCAAGGTTTCATGAAATTGGGGCTCTATGGGTTGATGTCATGAGAGCAGTTCGGTCATGTGCTCCCTTGACTCTTGTGAATCCTTGCATCCTATATACTGCTCCGGGATTTGCTTGAGAGGTTCAAACATGTTCAAACCCAATATACGAATCACTTTTGACATCCCTGAAGCTGAAGCAACTCCCAGAGACTCGGCTGAAAACAAAACGGCTCTCACGTGGACTTACGACTAAGGCATCTGTGGATGTGAACCCCCGTGGTTCTCAGATGTTAGAGTCTTTCAAATAGGGAAGAAATACCTGACAAATTGGAAAGGCCATGATTCTCTTGGGGTCATGGGGGTCAACAAGCCCATATTGTGTCTCTTGGTTTCAAAGCACATCTCATATCTCAGGCCACCATAAACCTCATTACTGCAGGTATAACCCAACTTATAGAATCTTATAGACATCTCCGCCTGAAATCCAACAGTCATTGAAGTTATTGCCGTGAAATTCACGAATTTTGCTATGGTCCGAGGCCCCTCATTGTCGTGAAGTCCATTAGGACAGCCATGTCTTTGTCTGTCTTCAGAGCATGTCATTCTTGCAGCGCTCAGGTGCCTAGCAGGGTTAGCAATCTCATGGGGGGATACAATGGGAATATCGTGGAAGACTTGTCACCAACCAACTAATACATGTTTTGGGGAGATATAATGGGCTATGGGAATATAGCGGGAGATTTGTCACCAACTAAAATAACTAACATATGAAATTTGAGTTTGCCTAAACATGGGGCCGTGCCCTTCGGTACTCAGACTTGGATGGAAAATTTACCCTCTGGTAAACAAATTTCACAGCCATGTTGGACCCCCGAAAGGTTACCGGTTACCCCAAAATTTCACGAACCCAAATGGCGTAGGTCGAATACGCACAAGACATCACAAGACGCTGTATGGGACTTGCTGAAAACAAATACCAAACACACACTTGACAATGTTGGCGGGTCTAAGTTTGGAACAAATCCCAGGGAGAATCATGTTGCAAAAAGGCTCTTCAATTGCCCCTAAACATTGAACAATCAACATTCATCAACCAAAAAGTCTATAAAAATCCTAGTTATGAGTTATGAGTTAGCTAACACAAAAACAACCCACAAAAATCACCAATTCTTTTGGGGTTAAACCATCTCCTTGAGTCCTCGAATACCTCTCCTCCATTGTCGCCCCATGTGGCAGCATCCCCGCCTTAAACTTTGGAGCTGGTACTCCTGACGATGATTGGCATGGATCAGTGACATTTCTGCGATCACCTCTTCATCCCATTTCACACTTTTGACTTGATCGAATTAAGTGATTAAATTGAATGGTGATTCAGCCGTAACAATCAACACAGTGATTTACAACAATAATCAATAATCATTGCCAAGTAGCTAATGACCAGTCATTGTCCAAGCGCGTCTTATGAAGTCTTATGTACAGTGTTATAAGATGTTATAAGTAATAATGGGGGGGTTTCAGTGACATTGCAGTGAGGTGAAAGAAGATTCATCCAGATATAAGTATACGTACAAGATAAAGATTCACCTCCGGGCTGATATAGTCAATCCAATCTCCAAAAATCTCCTCATTTTTTCACATCTACCATCCTGACTTTGATTTCCAACCAAACGGTAGTCGTCATTGCTTCTTCGGAAACACTTGTTGAACAGCTCTATGCTTGACGATTTGTTTTGAAAGAAAAGAAATCTAGCCACCGTCCTTTCTTTTGTAGGTGTTCCAATAGCGAATGGATTCGGTTTTTAGGGGAGGCGAATTGTTTGAAAAGGTTCGTGGTTTTGATGGTAAACATGTAATAATCATGGCTTTCTGCACTTCACTTGAATCAAATCAATCATTGCGTCTTTTTGTGCAGGGCAAATCGCATGTAGAAAATGGAAAAACACACCACACAACTTGGATCTAGCTTACCAAATATAGGCTGTAACCAACTTTAAATCATGGCTGGTAAGTGACCATGTTTTCTGTACTAAGTACCCGTGAATGGATTAGTAAGTACCATTAACTAAGTACCCGTGAATAGGACCTAGCATCCATAAATTAACTTATTGTCTAAAGATAGGGTACCTCCAATTCCAACAAAGGATTCTCATCTTGCAAAGTGAAAATTCCATTCTGGGGTACACACCAAATTGGGACAGACCCACACGGTCCGTAAACCCGATTACAGTAAACATCAACCTTTCAACAGGACAATTTGTCATTAATCATTTTTAGCCTCTGTTAATGGCATTGAAAACAAACATACATAGACATTGAAAAGCCTCCCAGAAAACATAGCCAACGTTACCTAACGTTAGCCTCCCAGAAAACAAACATAGACATTGAAAAGCCGTGGTTTCCCATTTGGACAATTGGCACTATCCCATGGTCCCCTCCCATGTAAAAGCCCAAGAGCACGGGAAACTTGGCTGGGAATTTTCCACATTATCCACTGGCCAATGGCCGGAGTTATAATAGTTATGTTTTGTACTGAACTAAGCCCATAAAAATGACATGTATAATCCCACTGAAATCACCAGTTATAACCATCATCAATCACTATTAGCCTATTAGCCACTATTAATCATTATTACCCACTAATAATCACCATCAATCACCATTAATCACCAATAGCCATGGCCACAACTCCAAATCTCAATGGATTGGTTTTGTTGGGAGACTTGGAACCGGAAAGCCCCATGATCTGAATGGGAACCCACCATGGTTTCCAGTGAAGATGTTCCCGGGAAAACCAATCCAGGAAATAATAAGCTTTGACAACTTTGACCTATCCCCATATATATATATAGCTTGGTAAATAATAATAATCATCATCATAATAATAATGATGATGATAGTTCACTAACCTGAAATAAGGCCATCTTGGGATGATTCCTCTTATTCACCATGATTCCAGGCTTCGGGAGAACAGTGAGGTCGTTATAATTTACCCAGATATATCCATATATCCAGTAAATATCCTTTGGGGAACTCACCTTCTGGTGATCCGAAGCACTTCGGAGCTGCCAAGTGGCCGGTGGAACTCGCGCTCGCCCGGCGAGTTCAAATCGAGCTCACTCAGCAAGGGTTGCCGCAGGCCCTTGCCAGCCTTGCAAGGTGCTGCAGTTGTGGCCATTGATTAGCTATAACTGGTTATAACTGGTTATAAGTGGGATTATACATTCCATAAATGGGGTTTAAGTACTTATAACTGGTAATGGGCCATAGCTGTGTCCCCTGGTTTCACTAGCCATTTTCACCGATTTAATGCAGGTACCTACCATGCAAGGTGGTGTCCCAGTGATGTTTGCTGGTTTATAAACCATAAGTATGGATATATCTACCATACAGTAAACCATAGTTATTGAAGTTATAAACCAACTTAGCTGACACCACACTGTACCATACGATCTATTTGGGAGATATTTCGCCCCCCCCAAAAAAAGAAACATATCCCTATGAATTCCCCAATGGTGTATCTTAATATTCCCCTTTGGGACAGTCCAAAATCCGCGAAACAAAGCCACGATTTCTTAAGTATCACAATGACTAATCCATCAACAAAATTTCTCTACTTTTCATGAACCTCCATTTAACCTTGATATTTCATATATAATCTTATAACCATAGATGTCCCAAATTCCCATTGGTTGATTAAAAAACAGAGGGGTTTGCTTACTCTTTAAAAACATGTTTGTTTGATGATAGATGGTATAAACCCCCATGAATTCCCATGATTCTCCATGATTCTCCCGCTATCTTCCCACCATCAACCTGGGATGATCCCCACCGCCGAGGAACTGCCGAGTCGTCCTGGGCCGCGATCTTCTTGCGCTTCCGCGCCATGGTGAGCTTGGCGAAGCTGACAGCGTCGTCCAAGCTGATCCTAACAAGGCGAAGGTGCGGAACGGCGAGTGATGGGGAAAGATGAAGAAACCGTAGAACTAGTGAGAGACATATCTCTCTCTTTCTCTATATATACATCAATATATATATATATATACATAACACACATATGTAAATATATATAACATAAATATATATTATTACATATATATAGATATATACATACATATTCACGTTATTGTTTAATTATGTTTGCAAACGATATATTTGTATGTAATGTATGGATTGTATGAACACAACAACAACAACAACAACAACAACAACAACAACAGCAACAGCAACAGCAACAGCAACAGCAACAGCAACAACAACAACAACACCATGAGAAGGACCAACGCCGGGGCTAGAGGAGAGTGACTCGGTGCCTACCAGGGCGTATGCAAATGCCATGGGCTTGGCAGCCTTTTGCACGTCGATTCTCCTAGCCTCCATCGACGGTGATTCAATCCACTGTTGATGTTAGCATTGTAAAGTTGTGGTGATTGACCTAATGGGACTGTGGATTCTTAAATATAATTGGAGGATATTATACATATATATAATATATGTAGTATTTAACCTTTAACTTATGACTCTCTAATATCATTAGAACTGTAATATATGGAATCGGAAAGGATTAATGCCCAGAGGTAATTATCAGAAGATATCAAAAGTGTTGCTGAGATCAACTATATAACTCTCTGAGAAATACACCAAGTTGGGGGGAAATCAGGACACATCACGGTTCTCGTGAAGTCAATGTAATCTAGCTGCGTAAAAACATCGGAAAAATCGAGAGCTTGCTAGGCCCTACTCACAACATTCAGAACTTCTGCACTGCTACTGGGCACCTTACCTCAAAGTTCTTTCTAACAGGCTGTCCTAGTGGACCAACGCTGCGTAAGCTCCGAGCCATCAAGAATAGTGCGAAATCCTCTATAGCAGTGGCAGTAAACACCCAACAATGCAGCCTTTGCACTGGGAGTTTAATTTGCTTACTGGGTAGAAGCCCATCAGCCTGGTCAAATGTGGTTGTATATCCAATAACTAAATGCCATTACTATCCTTTACTGTATATCACCCACCATGTTGCCGTTAAAAATCAGATTTTGCTGATTAGATCCCCCCTTCATAGCCAATTCCACCAAGGATTCTCGGTTTATCCCACGTTTGATCCAGATGTTGCGGCAAGCAGCATGAATGCTTGCTGGTCGAGCAAAGGTTTGGCGCCATCGGCAAAGTTTTCCTCCAGCAGTAGCCGGACCTCACGCAACAACAGTACGGTGAAGTGTGAAAATTCTGTTATATAATATTATATCAGCATGGTATGCATCCTGATTTCTGGGATCATCCCAGTTTTGCTATGGCACCCATGAACACTGAAAGTGATCCATAAGTTCTGACTAAATCATATGAGGTTGCTGCAAGATGGCCGTTTCACGACCTGAAGTTACTTTGTGTTTACTCTGGGATGGAAAGGATCGAATCAATCAGCCCAGAAAAACATGGTAAGACCAAAGAAATTGATCGTGGATTAGTGCGACGCCATCGGAGTGACCTTTTCAAGCCAACAAAGCCGCACAAATGGCCAGCTTGAACATCATTGGGTAGAACCACTCTGAAATGTTGTTCCGAACAAGGAGTCTGTGAAACAGCACAGCCGTGGGCCAAGTGGACAGTCCCAACAGCTGATCCGCGCAGAATTGGAAGAAAATTGAAGATATATCCTCGAAAGTTCATTTTAACTAGTCCCCGATATCTTATAGGTTCAAGAAAACCATCTGCATTGATGTCTAGGATTTCTTGATCCATTTCTTCTGGCTGTATATTTGCACATTTTTAGAGGATGGTAAAGCCATCTGAAGATGACGATCTACACCTCCTGGTTGGTTACACAAAGTGGAGTTTCCGGATTTTGCTAAAATGAGGGCAGCCCCAAATCATCCAAAATTAGACCCATGTTGTAATATTGAAACCTTTTTTGTGACTTGGGGATCCCCCAGTTTTCTGTTTCTTGGTTTATAAACCCAACAACTAGGGTAGGTTGGGTGTCATCCGCCATCGTTCATAGTTGCCATGGTTATTGTAGTTCTTTGGGGATCCATGATTTAAAAATCCATCAAATTCAAGGCACTCGACTCTTCGCATCCGCCACGATGCAACTGATGTTTCCTTGGAAGGGAACCAGTGTCATATGTTTTGTTGTGTGAATTGACCTAGGAATTCCTAGAAAACTCATATTTTTGCTCATACAGTAATTGACCTAGAAAGCAAAGTTGGTTTATAACTCCAATAACTATGGCTATGATTTATAGGGGATATATCATGATATATCTATACTGGGGATTAACCAGGGTTCCATGGTTCTTACAACTACAGTGAGATATGGTATTAAAACCGCCATTCATGACTGGGGGGCAACACCTTGTACCTTGCCCCTTCTTGTTACATTAAGTAGCCTCAATCTTCATTATGTCCGCCCCTTGCATTGGAGATAAACAAAACATACAAGGTGGTGCCCCCTCGTTACAAGTTGCTTCACACATCTAACCATGGTTATGTCACCGTAAATCCTGTAGCTATCTCAATTCGATTCACCAACTCAGCCAGCAGTGGTTCAATCTTTCTGGTTGGTGGTATACCTACCCCTCTGAAAAATATGAGTTCGTCAGTTGGGATGATGAAATTCCCAATATATGGGAAAATAACATTGATGTTCCAAACCACCAACCAGTTTCAATCAACCTCTCAGCCACCCAACCATCCAACAAACCAATTTCTACCCATCTACCTTGGTTCTCCTTTTGGCTTTGATCATTCTACATGATTCTCCGTATCCGGACCATGATCAATCCCTAACCGACTAATTCATACATCTTTCTCTTAATTGTCCCATGGATGCGGCTATATCCCTATTCCCATCATATCAGTTGTCTAAGTAACATCCCCATTGTTCATACTTGATAACTTCACATAATTTCACATCGTGTCCTCATTTCTTCCTGCTCACCCCGGCGAAAACATCACCGCGCTTCGTTTGCGCCACTCCGTCAACAGCTCCCGAAGCATTTCAATGGCCTCAAGCTAAGCAGGTACCATGATAGATGCGGGGCTTGAAATAACGAAACCTTGGGGATTGAACAAAAAAACACAGGTACTTACCAACATGATTTAATTGGCAAAACAACAGATTATATTTTAATACCCCAACAATCTTGCACAATTCAACAAAACAAGGAAAAACATGGATTTAAAAAGCCCAATGATCTTGCACGATCAAAGTGCAAACATGGATTTAAGCAGCAAAAGAACACATTTGAAATACACGACTAATGAAGACGCACATGGATTTAGAATGATTTGGACAACAAACGGAGGACCAAGGTGGTTCTCACGTTGGAGGTGATACCAATCATGAAGTTGATAAGGGGCCCCATTTCATGACTCATCTGATGACCTGGGCATTGCCAGGACCGCTTCAAGGCAAGTGATGTGGAGGTGGTGGTGATCAGGATATGTGTCATGCCGGGCCTATTATAGAATCTTACATCATATTTACAGAAAGTTTACAGTTGTGACTTATGACTTATGAGTCTGGTGGTGATGGTGATGGTGATGGTGATGATGATGATGATGATGATGGTGGTGGTCACTGTGATCATTATGACACATCTAAGAACACACAATCACATTTTATATGACTTAACTTACTCATACTCACTGGTCATTGTCCCCCACAAGTCAAACACCTCCAAGACTCTACTTGGGAGTGCAGTTTGACACCCTCCTCCATGCTCGACTTGTAGAATGACCGTTTTCCAGAGTTACTGAAACCTGGTCGGTGGTATACCTACCCCTCTAAAAAGTGATGGAGCTCGTCAGTTGGGATGATGAAATTCCCCATCTAGATGGAACGTCATAAAACATGTTCCAGTCACCGCCAACCAGTAACATAAGAATTAGGGGTGCAGTTCCACTAATGAGTGGATTACGTGAATCCACTGGTTCTGGGGGGCTCTTTGAAAATCCCAACTTGCGGAGGTCACAATCCCATGACCCCAGCGGCACGTGAACTTTCCCAACATGTCATCGCTAGTACTGTAATCAACCAACAACGCAGATCAGAAAAAACATCATGTTTGCAGTAATACCTTGTTTTTTCATGATAATCTAATACAATAATAATCATCACTGGAGTGATCATTTAGAATTCAATGATTATCATTGTAACCCAGAATGATTTACAAAATCATCTAATCATCAACCAACAGAAGACTGGGGCCAATGCTCATATTAGGGATTTCTTCCCCCTCCGTGGGGCCGCCCGTGATGGTTGTTAGTGAAATTGGAGTTATCAACGCACCAGCTTAGCTATCACAAACCAGCTATAAATTCCATTCAGATCCCCATTGTTTCATGCTTAAACCGACCATTTTCCTATGGTTTCCTATGGTTTTCCTGCGGTTGTCATATGGTTTGGGGCCCCTTTTCCGGCAACCCCGCCGCGTCAGACGGCCAAGTGTCCGTCTTGTCCAAGTCGTGAACGCTTCCGAAGGGTAGGACCTGGACGGATTCTCCACTTGGGAATGAGATTTTTCTTCGGGTGACACCATAATTTTGTGCTTATTGTAGTATATTATAATCCCATAGGATCCATGTATGCTATATATGGTAACATTTACCATCAATATACCCCAAATGTTAGCATATATACCATACATGGATCCTATGGGAATGGTCATTATAGTTATTATAGTTATATATCGCGAATACTGGTATTGCAATTGCTATACTATATATAAATGTTGTAATAAACTACCAAGCCATATGCCTTAAGCAGGAATTCAACTGAGTATGATGGACATATCATGGAAATACTATTGATAATCATTGGACATATCATGGACTCATTATATGAGAATAATACCATCTGGTTATTTAACATAGCCATGGGAAATCACCATTTTTAATAGGTAAACCGTGTATAAATGGGCCATGTTCATCCATTTTCCATGGCTATGTTAAATAACCAGAGGGTAGTTCTTATCCTAGGAATAATGTCTCAAATGGTTGTAAACACCAGAACTATTCTACAACTAGGATATGTTTAGGTGACACCAACATATTATACCCTATGGATCGAGGTGTACCTTCTCAGGAAGTGCCCAAAAGCAGCTCCCGCACCGCCAAGACTGCGGGTACCACTGGTCATTATACCAAAAAAGCATATGGCTTAAAAAGGAATTTAACGGGAATATGACTGATTCTCAAAATTATTTCCATGATATTAGTATGGTTGTTAGTATCCAAATGGTCATATACTAACAATCATATGGAAATAATTTTGAACCTCATATGAATAATATGATTTGTTTACCTCAGCAGGTATCCATATACTTATGCAGATTAGAGCGGTTCAAAACACACCAGATTCTCATTGTACTGGTTGGTTGACAGTTTCCCTAGTAAACGGTTAGTTCATAATCCCCCCGTAAGCCAGGTAGTATCACTCCCAGCATTGCTGAAACAATCAATAAGGCTACTTAGATGGGCTGTGGGATTAGCTAACTAGTTAGTAAGTGGGTTATAAAGTACTAATATCCCCATTATAAATAATCAATTTACTAACTACTTAACCAACTCCATGGCCCATCTAAGTATGTTTCAATGGTTCATATGGCTTAGTGATATTCAACCAACGAAAACAAAGACTTGAACGGGAAGCTACATGGACACCATATGGACACAGGAGGATACACCGAAAACATGGAAACCTCTTGTACCTGAGGGGGTCATCATGGGTCATCACCCTTAGAATGGCAAAGTCAAAAAAGAAACAAGTATGATGAACGATATGTTTTTTGGGTGCCTGATTCTTGGACACACCGACATAGGTATGGGTAGATGTTGATTTCATACTCCCTTGAGATGGTAAACAAGTTACTACGGAAGTGTGCTATGTTTGAGGTAAATTATGATGAGTTGTCACTACTGGAGGTAAAGTGGCTCATTTAGGTATGTGTCAAATACATTCAACATCATTATGCCATATTGGTGAGGGAGTGAACACAGATGAAGTTTCGTTTACCAGCTATTCAAACATTGCACATTAGGCCCACCGACCCCGCGTGTTCTGTCACTTCAGAATGCTTGTCAAAGTTATGTGAACCTCTTCATGATAATGTGGTAAACCCAATAATGAACCTTCCCAGTAGCAATCCGCACATGATCAACAAATAAGGGATGTTGTATTGACATGTCAAAGTACTGGAGCACACATCCCCAGCTTATGCACACCGCAAATCTCCCTGGGCTTTTCGGACACAAATCCTGCAGTATGATAGTGTGGATGGTTGCGAAATCCAAATCCCAAGTTGATAGATGGTAAAGATCCCAGAAAAATCCCATTATTTACAGTGTTTCAGAGTTACCATTAGTTACCATCTGGTGCAGGATTTTTTGCATTCACGGCCCTACCATTAATATGCTTTAACCATCATTTTGGTGCTGAAGGATTTCGCAACCATCCACAGTATCTCTACCGCAACAACCAGCCCTGGGCCATAGGGAGACCAGTTGGCTGTTGAAGCTGTCTAAGTCGAAGAACTATTTAAGCCAAACTTTGCAAATAGCTAAAGGATGTGGCTTGAAGTGGCTGAATTCTATATTCTATAGTTTTACGGTAGATATAACTAGAGTTACTGTAATAGGGTTTACAAACCAACTTATGTTCGAACAAAGGTTCTTTTCCAAGATCACATCAGCGCAGTACAAAGGACCAAGCTACGATGACCTCAATGTGATTGTCATCTTCCTCTTCCAAGAGCCGCTTCTGTTCCACTTCTTCCTAGGACGGACTAAATGAGGCGAACATTGCAGATTGGGACTTGATTGGTACGAAAACAACTTTCACAATGGGGGCGGTTTAACCAACCAAGATGGGGATTTGTATACATATATCTTGGTAAAGTATAATATTTCACTAACCTCAATTAAGGCCATTTGGGGATGATTTCCCTTATTATAAGTTACCCATATATATATATATATATTTGCAAAGTTGGTTAATTAATAATAATCATGCTAACGTGGATTTACGGGGGACATATCGATAGGGTTTAACAACCAAATCAAAATTAGGAGAGGCCTCCCTGTACAAGCAGAATTTGGCTCATGGTGTCATGGTAGTGCCACAGAATTCAATTTATTTGGATGAAGAAACATGTTATATGAAACCCCCTATAGGTAGTGCTAAGAAAACAATCGTTTCGAGTATGAGTAAACAACCCAATGATGGTGCCACTTGGCTTTGGGAGCCATGTAGCACACTATTTATTGAATTTGTTTGGCTAAACGTTTCCAAAAGCACTTCAATTTTGCTCATTTTCAGTGTAAAACACAAGCTCCACCGTTCAGCTTCGTGGCTAAGAAGTGATCAGCACTGGCGAATGACCTTAGTGGACCGCAAGGCTGACCCTAACAGGTCACCTCCAGGATTGACAGAGGGTGGGTTGGCCTCTGGTAATTGAACATGGCGAACATGGCCCATAGAAATAGTTGATTTACCTATGAAAAATGGTGGATCTTTCAAGTTCGCAAACTGTAAACGTTTACCAGAGGGTAGCCTTCTCCTTGAGATTCCAATGATCTAATGATCCGGTGATCCCATCAGAAACCATGGTCCGGCAGGCACCTGTCCTTGACCCAACCCGTGGACCCGGAGTTTCTAGGGCTTTGGAAATTTCTTAGATCAAGATTAAATGATAGACAAACTCAACCATTACATCTGGGAAACAGATCATATTTCCGAAACAAGATTTCAAGAAATTTAAGGGGGATTTCCTCTCATCATCTATTCGGTCATGCCGTCATGGCTCGCCTTTTTATTCACCTAGATAGATTGTAGAATTCGCTTGTGCCCATTGGTGGAATCTCTCATCCCCAGCCACGGCTGGGGGTTTGTCAGCCAGCTCCTGTCCCAACACATCGATAGCCTAGCGACAAGGGTCCTCTGAACTCGATGACCAAGATTCCGGGGAAGGTCCGACCTGGAAATTCCACAAGCCGTTGGGATTGTTCTAAACAAAGAAAGGCTGGACACAGATATTTTTTGTAACTTCCAAGAAGATAGAAATTCTATTGTGTTATTATTAGATAGCAATGTATGGTACTGATGATTTTTCATATATTTTGATTGGGTGGGTGACAACCAGATGAAATTGATAAGTTTTTTATGATAGATAATCATATATATATATATATATCAAACTACGTAGTTGGATGGGATTCGGATTTATAAAAATTCAAACTAGGAGGAGGGAATCTGGTAGGAACCCCCAAGAAGAAGGAACAGTAATGTATCACTATTTTAGTCGGATTTAACATATCTATCGTTTTGGGGCTAAACAAAACAAGACACTACACAACAAGAGAGATTCCAACTTGTAGTGGTCCAAGCGTCAATGTTTTGTTGATTTTGTAGGGAAAACGGGGCATCCACAGGTTGAAAAAGTGTGATTCCAACTTTGCAGTTCAATGGATTCACTTCGCCAAAATGGGATGGGTCAATGCCCCCTTAGAGGGAGAAACATCAATTTACCAGTTTTCCATTTTTACGTCCAACAAAAAAAACAGACTTTGGAACCATAATCGCCATATATCAACATCATTTACCAAAGGCTATGGAGCTATAGTACTATAGCATACTATAGCCATATATATCACCATACTTTACGGCTATCAATTGTTGACCGTATCCTCCACCTCTCCATCCATCTCCCATCCCAACCAATAGTGCCCGATAAAAATAGGTTTTGGCCGGTTTGGTATACCATCTATCATCATTTACCTTAAGGGGTAAACAAACCCCTCTATTCATCAACCAACCAATGGAAAAAGGACTTCTATCCAACTTAGATGGGCCGCGGGATTAGCTAACTATTTAGTAAGTGGGTTATAAACTACAAACATATCCCAATGATAATCCATTTACCATCTGGTTATTTAACATAGCCATGGAAAATCACCATTTATAATAGGTAAACCATCTATAAATGGGCCATTTTGCATGGCTATGTTAAATAACCAGAGGGTACTAACTACTTAACCAACTCCATGGCCCATCTAAGCATCCATCTCCCAGCCCAGCGGCCTTCGGGCCAGACCTCCTGATCTCGCCAGATGTTTCCCAGTGACTCGATACGTCCCAGCTTTACCACCCGGGGCACTGCAGCGTCGTGCACCTCGCGTTTGAAAGGAGGATCCATGAGGAGCAAACCATCCAAAAACCGTTTTTTTTGCATAAGAAACATGTTGAGATAAGCAGCAAATGGTGACTTAATCAGCAAAGATGTTGATTTGACTAGTAAACATGTTGATTTAAGCAGTAAGTATGTTGATTTATAATACCAAAAAGGAGAAATGTAAGGGGACCACACGCAAAGAGTAAGCACCTTCTATGTACGGCACCCGAGCGATACACCCGAGCATTACGGACCAGAGGTGTGTTGTTTTTTTTTAAATATCCGTCTCATAGTCCTTGGATATCCTGGCAATGAATTTCTGTGTCTCGGGGTCACAAATGAAACCAACTTCCCAATCCAATTCTTGCTGCACGGCTGGATATCATACTGTGGATGGTTGCGAAATCCTGCACCACCTTGGCTGGTTGAAACCCTATAAATACTGGAATGTTTACCACCTATCAACTGGTGCAGGATTTCTTCCATCCACCGTATGTGATGAAAGAAGAATGAACGCGGTCCAATCCTCATCTGGTTTGGTTGTTTGGCTGATCAGCAGATTGGATTCTTGGGAATACAGCTCAATATCCTAGAATTACCTTCTTAGATGGGCCGTGGGATTAGCTAACTAGTTAGTAAGTGGGTTATAAACTCCATGGCCCATCTAAGTTGAGTGTCAGTTTGATACATGACAACATGATGTGTCGGCTCCAGTTCGTGCAGGGGAAGTTCCTTGGAGGATCATCCAACTTAGTAACTGGTTAGTAGCCGTGGCTAGTAAACCTCCTAAGTAGAGTTATCAATCAGCTATACTCCTAGTATATCTAGTGGACTTTAATATTCTCCCATTTTTCTGTGGGTGAAATAATCCCACGGCTACTAACCAGTGATCAAGTGGGATGATCCTCCTAGTATCAACATCGATGTTCCCTGGGTGGCACATGGTGGCACTCCGGTTATGGCCCCCAGTCTTAGGTGGGTTCAAGAAAAAACCGTGGCAAATATACCCTCTGGTAAACTAACACAGCTATGGAAAACCACCATTTTTAATACCCTTTTGTAAACAAACAGTTCGCTATTGAACATGGCCATAGGAATAGTTGATTTACCCAGCTACAAAATGGTGAAAATTCATTTTTTTGGATGTTTACCAGAGGGTATCTGCTATGGATCCTGGTTATAATAAACCAACAGAAATTCATCATACAGCACATATCAACCCCCATGTTCAACCATGAATGATCAACGTGTAACGTGTTCGTTCCTCAAAATCCCCATGTTTTTTCGCCCAGCAGCGATCATGAGAACAGAGACACCCACTGCAATACCAATGCCCCACAGCACTCCCTTGAAGACGGTCAGGAGAAACGCCTCGGTTAGTCAAAAACGACGTTGAAACATATCTGATCACAACAACACTTTTGAATTATCGCTGGAAAAGTGTCGAAAATAATGCATACGCACATTATATATATATATACATATTTGTATATACATATATACGTATATATATATATATATATTATATGTGTATATATATATATATATACATATGTGTATGTGTATATATGTATGTATGTATGTATGTATGTATGTATGTATGTATGTATGTATGTATGTATGTATGTATGTACTGTATGTATGTGTATGTATGTATGTATGTATGTATGTATGTATGTATGTATGTATGTATGTATGTATGTATGTATGTATGTATGTATGTATGTATGTATGTATGTATGTAGTATGTATGTATGTATGTATGTATGTATGTATGTATGTATGTATGTATGTATGTATGTATGTATGTATGTATGTATATGTTTGTGTATATATATATATGTAAATATATATATATATATGTAAATAATATATATATATATGTATATGTATGTATATATATATATGTGTGTAAGACTATATATATACAGTTTGCTGTAGGGGCTACACTAGTTTCTATATATGGTATCACCATGTCATTTTCATATGTCGCTAAGACAAAGACACACAGCCGATTGAAAATCACTGGTTTTACAGACATATATGCTTCATGATAGAGCTTCGCCGGCCATGAGAGTATGACAGCTAGATGCCAGGCTGTCAGGTCAATGTTTTGGTAAATATCAATGGCCAAAGCAGTTGGTTGGGATCCATTGAAAGTACCTGGGGGTGAGTCACCCAAATGTATGCGTGCATTGTGAACCTCCTAACCAAAGAGATCACCCACAGAAATGCCAACCTTGTCTTGGCGATATTCAGATTTTACCTACAATCAAATGGAGTTGATACTCCAAATTCTTGGATGATCCTCGAGATTGGGCACAGGGTGAAGTCCAGAAGCTAAAGTGAACTGGAGTTTTGCTGACAGTCGCCGGCCGAAAAAGCTACCAAGCTCCTTAAAGAGATCGGGGATGCGTCAAAAACCCTTCACACCCCTGTAGTTCACATTCGAAATAGCTGGCATTGATCTGGGCAAATTATCATATTTCACTCACCTGAATAGTTGGGCCATAAAAGGGGGATGATTTCCCATCGCAAAATCTCATGATTCCAGGCTTCAGGAGAACAGTGAGGTCGTTGTAATTTACCCATGGGATTGGATGGCATCCACTATGGCAACCACTTGTCAGTGATGCCTGAGATGCTATCCTCAAAATATCGCCCAAGGTGGGAATCCCCAGTTCAACGAGTTGCTCTATGTTCACCATTGCATCATTAGAGATCCATATGCAGTACTGTGTATATATATATGCTACATATATTATTACGTATAATATATACATACACTTATAAACATCTGCCATGAAACCAACGGGTGGCCTATGAAATCTTAGCTCAAGAACCAACTTCGGAGAACTTGGGAGCCAGGTAACAATCCACCAAACGATGAAATCGCGCTTCATTCCTCCTGGGAGAGTTACGCGCTGTGTTAAATCGGGCAGTCCTTCTGGACAGTCGGGAGAATTGGTTACCTTCTTATGTGACAAAGGTGGAATGTCCAGTTGTGTTGGTCTGTTTGGCAAACAAGATAATGTGGATTCGCAAGAATCACCTACAAAAAGTGTAGTATTTGTTCAGACATACAGTCAGTTTCATACTCTTACTAGAATCATCATGCACTCATCATGCTGCGCGGTAGAAAGCCTAATGCTTGATGGTTTTGATCTCTAGTCTGATCACAAAATCTGAGGTATTTAGCAAGAAACATGTTTCATCAACATAGATCATCATGGCAAATATACCCAACTCACCAGCTGGTTTACCCATAGTTTACCCATAGTTTACCACTGGTTCTTGTTGCTTCAATTTTACCTTTTGGGGCTAACAAAACTCCCAATCTTCCATTGATTTTCTCTCATGACTTGGGCCCATGTCTGATATTTCTGCAGATATGGCCTAGCAGCCTAGCAGTTATAACTGGGATGAAACAATTCCCATAACTAGATATAACTAGTTAGTTATATATCATGAAATAATGCTATGATAATAACTGTTACCCTCTGGTAATGACTAACATAGCTATGGTAAATCACCATTTTTAGTGGGAAAACTCTGTCAATTTCAATGGGCCATTTTCAAGTTCGCAAACTGCTAGTCAGTACCAGAGGGTAGGCCAGGGCCAGAACTGGAAATCCATCCGCCTTGATGGTAAGGCTTCCAGGAGCTCCACAGAGTCGTCGGCGTATGAAGGTCCTGCATAATTGTTGCCAACATAAAAATGAATGGTTGATTAATATGTGGTTCATATACTGTTAATGATGGTTCATGATGATGGTTAATGATGACGGTTAACGATGACGGATATTATATCGTTAATGATGATTAAGTTCATAATCTGGTTAAACAATACGCATTTCATGGTGGGATTGATTGTAAAAATCGAACTTTAGACTTATCAAAGATAGATGTCTCTGGAAATTGACGTGCTTCATTTTCAAGACTCGGGATTTGACACCGATAAAACTGTTTTTTTTAATGATCATTGGTGTATGGACTGTCATAAAATAAAGCTTGAACGGCAAACATGCAGGGAAAATTCACCCGTGGTCATCTTTGAAAGGTCAACATGTTTTTCTCCGCCACGAAGCTCTCAGCCAGTGTACCAATAAATAATGTTGATCCTAAAAGACATGTTGCTCAGTCAGGGCCAATCAGTATCAGGGACATGAACCAATCAGCAACATTACAGTAATAGATTCAACCAGCATTTTATGCTGCATGGTGCAGCCAAACATATTGGGGATGCATTATATGCAGTTATATGCAGCACGATTGGATCGTTTGTTGCCATCCATGGTCAAGAAAATAGCACATCAAGTTGAAAACAATCCACCAGATCTTGTTTTTTAGGTGCTATACCAAAAAAGAATTCAGGGTGCTACTTAAATTTTGGACGGGCATGTATTCTTAACATCACCCAGCCAGCTCTTTATCTTCAAGACTCCACCAGCTGCCATGTGGATCTCAAGATGATCGCAGCCAAGGTGGACTTGGGTAAATAGTACAACCTAATGCTGCACAAGAAAGCAGGTTTCAGGTATCTAAAAAGTGGGTTGTCCCCCACAACTTCACCAGTGACGAATGGGAGTTCCTACAGATGTGCAACACACTGCGAACAGGCTATGGTCATTGATGCCCGACCTGTGGAGCTATTTTTAAGCAGTCAATGAAGAGTTGAGAAGGTTTCCAAGTCATAGGGTTGAACAGTGAACATCGTTGAAACCACATGAAACCACCAACACAAAACATCTAATATAAGTGAGATATCCTATCTAAGTCGTGACCGTGCAATCCTTTGGGGTCTCAAAACTGGCATAGCCTCCTTTTTCAACCTTAGGACTTAGCAACAGATAATCGATGTCAGACTTTCACGGTGATGACTTAAACCCCACCCATGGAAGATGCAAAGCAATGGCAGTCAATGCGGGAGCAAGGCTCCCCAGAAATTTGAAACACTAACAGACATTCTGGAAAGCAATGTTGCTAAGAAAAGCAAGATACCTGTAAAACTTGTAGAATGAAAAGCTATCAAACGGCAACCCTGCTCCCCAAGCAGGGATATGCACATGAATGATGTGATGTCACACAAGTGGGCGAGTGAAATAATCAGCAATATGTGGGAACATCGCTGACTTCAGCTCGCATTGGAAGGAACTTTCCAGATTTGCCAAATAGAAGGACTGGACCGATACTGTACAATGCTTCTGCCAAATAAAACAAGCAGTCAAGGTAACAATTCGTTCATCTTGGGCTCGAAGTAGGATATAAAATCCAAGTTTCATTTATATACTGTACATATATATATATATGTATATATATATATATATGTGTATATATATATATATTATAGACTTTTTGTTGGATCCTGACCCATTCACCCTTCCTTTTCAGCTGAAACATTACCATTTTTCCAAGGAACACGCCAGTGAGGAATTCCAGGCTCCCACCCACCACCACCAGCTTCATTAAGCCACTCATCTGGGTTTTGACGCCCACCTTGGCAGATCCGCGACAATAGCGACTCCCAAAAAAAAAACTGGGTTGAGACATAAAACAGATATGGTTGGTATCTCACTGGATAGATTTGATGAATTTTGCTATTGAAATGTTACCTCTGCCGTTTTTATTGTGGGGGCATTAAAACGAAGAACCCGGCGCCACTCCCAGTCACTTCTGAGGCCAGGGAGGTTCGACTCAGAGATCCCGAAGGCGTGAAGGATCCATAGAAGGAGCCGCAGACCTTAGAAGTCACGAGAAAATATGGAGAAATTCAAAAGCAAAGATGTTGGGTATATAGGAACATGCTTTTGAAATATATAGGAACATAATTTCATGCTGGTAAACCCCATATATAGAGTTCATTGGGGTTTACCAACATGAAATTATCAGGAAAAAAGGAACATGCGTTCCTCACAATGTGAAACAACAAGATGTAAACATATGAGCGGACAAAATTACTTACCCACAATGGACATGACCAAAGTGGGTGGTACCCTATCGCTTGTGAAGGTTCGTACTTCGCTATGTGTAAAATAGGGTATCGGTAAAAACATGTTTCACAAGGTTTATGGGGAAACAATCTAAAACATGGTGTGAAACATTAGTTTTACGGGAATGTTGCTGGTTAAATTAACAATTTTATGGAATTTTACGATGATATGTCAAATGTGGTGGGGTTGGCACAAAACATTGCGGGTCTAACCAGCAGCAAACATTGGAACAACGCTTAAACCAATATTTTAGAAGGTTTTGGCGATGTTGGGGTGTAATGAGATAACCAGCAATATGATATGTCTATATGT